CTTGACCTCAAGTCGCGACATTAGGTCGAAACTCCCCAAGCTGCCGGCGTCCTCTCGGGACTCCCCACATTCACTTTCCTTTCCCACAGGTCGGGTGGTGCGCACCCCTACGATACCCTACGGTACATATGATACGTAGGTAGTCTTACATACATCGCCACCCCTAGAGGAACGAACTCTTCAACACCTGCACTTCAGTGGGCGGTGTTTGTCCTCACGGACGCGTGGACTAGGTTCCTGCTGCATAATAGTCAAAAGCAGTACTGGGCCCCACGTGAACTGCGAACCTCAGGGTCTTCTCGGGCGCCGTAGCGTAGGCTAGTGTAGTACGGCCATTTTTAGTACGCGCACCTCCCCGTCCTCCCCCCATCCAACGTGGCTGCCTGCCAAGGCCAGATCCACGCATTCGACTCCCAGGACCTCATCGACGTCTACATCCCAGACGGCCCTGAGACTGTCCTCTACCGTTGCGAGCAGCAGCCGTGCCCAAATCGGACACCCCGATCGATCGAGGAAGATTACCCTCGTTACAAGGCGATCCGACGAGCGCAACACCCGCTCGGACCCCGAAGCACCCTTGCATCTCGATCGGCCTCGCGGCACTCTCGCCCTGTCTCCCCCACCTCCCGCCTTCCCCAAACTGTCGCCGAGTCCAGTCAAGCTAGAGGAGATCTCCCTCCAGACCCTGCGCCAGAGCTTGAGCTTAAGGAGGGTAACAGTGAAGAAGGAGTCTCGGAGTCCGAGTCCGCGGATCCTGCTCGGCCCGCCTCGCCGACAGCGCTCGCCCCCGCGTCAGCAGTCCCTGACGTACGTAACCCCCCCGCCGAACTTCCTCCGGCGCCTTCACCGCCGACTCCGCCGAGAGGCCGCTCGAGCACTCGCTCCTCCCGAAGTTCGACCAGCGGAAGGCCACCACAGCCGCCTCCGCCCCCGCAGCGTCCTCCGTCCCCCCCGACGCCGATAATGTCGTCCCCCGCAGCCGCCCTCGACAAGGAGACATTAAAACTCCTACTCCCACTCCGATACGATGGCAAAACCGTCATCGATTGCGACAGGTTCTTGTCGCAGTTACGCATCTACTGGATGGTCAACACGTCGTTGACCACCATCGAGCTCAAAGTCCAGGTTGCGCTAAGCCTGCTCGACGGTGACGCCCGCGCCTGGGCCACCCCCTACTTCGCCCAGCTCGTATCAGTGCAAATAGGGGTGCAAGGGGCTACGACCCCGTTCGCAAACGAAGCGGCCTTTGCCGCCGCCTTCAAGGCCCGCTTCGGAAATCTCGACGACGAAGCGGCAGCACAAGTAGAGCTGGCGAAGCTCTGCGCGGACAAATCGGTCCGTGAAAAACGCACCGCCGCGGAATTCTCCGCGCTGTTCAAGGGTCCGGCGGACCGCTCTGGGTATGGGGACCTGGAACTACGCGACAAGTACCTGAGCGGCATCCCCTCCCGCGTATACCGAAAGATCGAGCTCGAGACTTTCACCACGTGGCAAGACGCTGACAAGCGCGCCACTGAGGTCGAGCAGATCCTCGACATTAGCCGGGCTCGTCGGCCCGAGCTAAATAACTTCTTCTCGGCCCGAGGTCGAGGACGCGGTGGGGCACGTGGTGGTGCACCCTCGACGCACGCAGCTTCGGCCAGCATCAATGCGGCCGTCGGAAAAGGCAACTTCCCTGGCACATGCTTCGGCTGTGGGAAGCAAGGGTACCGACGCTTTGAGTGCCCCAATTGTAAGGACAAGCCTTACACAAAACGCGCCGATGCGCGGGCTACGGTTGCCTCAGGCTCCACCCAGGCTGCGACAAGTGCCCCCATCACGACGACACCCTCGGCAAGTATAAGTGCCGCTTCAGCGAAATCTGAGCAATCAGAGCTGGCGGACTTAATGGCACAGGTGAAGTCGATGCGCGAGGAGCTCGAACACTATCGGGCGATGAAGGAGGAGGGTTTTTGATCCGGTCCGCGCTTCGTGCCGCACGTGTCGGGCCGGGTATATCATGTAATCGTTATAATGTATTGGCGACTGCGAATGTGTACGAGTTGGACCACGGGTCCCAGCATTTCCACATCCCAGTGCGCCTCCAAGGAAAAAGACGGCACAAGGACGTAATCGCTATGGTGGACAGCGGGGCCACCACGAAGTTCATTAACAAGCGATTCATTATCGAGAATAAGGTGCAAACGCGGAAGTTGAAAGAACCAATTCCGCTGTACAATATTGACGGCACCCTGAACAAGGACGGAAGCATCTCGGAGGTAGCAGTACTACAGATGCATATAGGAGGACACGTCGAGAAAGCGGTGTTCACGGTCACGGACATCGGTCCAGAAGATGTGATTGTCGGGTTGGATTGGCTACGCGAGCACAACCCAGAAATAGATTGGGAAAAGGGCTCCCTCAAATTGT